TCCCAGCTGCTCCATACACCTACTGTGCACCTGGACACCCTCAGTTCCCGTTGCACTCAGCACCTTGCAGGCTCAAGGCTCAAAAGGGACAATCTAGTCCAGAATTTAATCAAGATGGACTTCAAAAGCACCAAACAGCGTCCTACCTATGTTATTATGAATGGCTAAGTCCGTCTGATTCGCTGTGTTTAGACCTTTAGAAAGCATTGTGCCAGCAGCTTTGTTGTAAAATTTTTGACTGGCTAGACACTGTTTAGCTTTCCTCCCCGTTCAGTATTTAACCTTGCCTGTCCCATATCCAACTCCCGCAGTGATGTTTTAATTTGTGTCCAGAACTTCTCCATCTTTGGAGATGCCAGTGCACAGAATTGATGTAAACTGTGTGAATCATGAAGCCCTTAAAAACAAGGTCAACCTTGGCTCTTGCTGCTCTTAATATTCGTTTCCTTTTGCAACTTGAAGAATTTCACAGCATACTGTTCCCGTACACGCTGGAGTGGGATTTGATTATTTTTCACAGTGAGTCTCAAAGCCACCATTAGACAGGCAAGGTCCACAAGCACTAAGGCCCGTAGTAATTCAGCAAGATAGTTAGAATAAAAAAGCACCAGGTCATCAGTTTCTAGCCTCCCTGGAGTTTCCGTTATTTGAGCATGGGATCCAAGCTTTATTTCCAGGGTCATCCACCTTGCGCTTTATTATCTCGGACTATGGCAGCAAACCTAGCCTCCTGTTCGCCTGGCGCGTTGCCTGAATCTCAGGCTCTCTGCTTCTTTAATTCTATTTCAGAGGCTTCAGCTTGTTTTTTAAATCAACAGCAATAAGTGGATCTTGCAGATTGTTCAGGGTTTTGACATTCTGGTTTAGTTATTGCTGTTTTGATTCCGTGCTGCTGGTTTGAGAAGTGGGTATTGCAGAACACAACCTGCCACCTTCACCTTCTGTGCCACAGGGCTTGTCAAATGATTCCTTTGACTGACACAAGGACATCCTGTTTCCTCTGTCCCTCCTTTTCTCTCGCTTGTTTGTTCGCTCGCCTCCTATTTCATGTCTGAGATTGTACGCTCATCGGGGCTTTACTCTGCAGCCTCTGGCATAGCGGGGCTCCAAGCTCATTGAGGCCACTCTGTGCTTCTGAAATATAAATGAGAGATAAAAAGAAAAGTGCTTTTGCAGGGCTGGGGGTGGGGAGGCATTTGTTTTGTCCTTGGCTGCTGTGGCAAGGCCGTGTAGAAGACGCCTGGATTTAAAGACTGATTTAAAATAAATGTAAGGTCATGTGGCATGGCTAGAGAGTGACGGAGGGCACTCCTGGGCTTACTCCTACACTTGGAGCCAGCTCACGCAGGCAAACTCAAGCTAGTTGTCATCAAGCTAGCATGCTAAGACGAGTAGTGTCGACATGGTAGCATGGGCTGGCCATGCCGAGTGCATACCCACAGGTCTGGGCAGCTTTGTCCTCATGGTGGCTAGCCTGTACCGCCGCTCTTGCTGCCCATGCTACTGCAGCTACACCACTGGTTTTAGCTCACATGAGTATGCCTATGCAATCTGGGAAGCACACCCCCAGCTACGTGTGCAGATGTGACCATAGTGTAGGGGCAGCATGGTAGGGACAAGACAAGAGAAAGGGCAGGGTACCCCCTAGCCTGGAAGTAGCATAAAGAATGGGACGGGGAGTGGAAGGAAATGAGCGCAGAGATTCCTGCAAGGGATGCAGTTCAGAGCCTTGAGCATGAGAATCCGAGATGTTTGAACTCGATGAGATGGCAAGAGGAAGTGAACGCAGGTTGGGGATTCAAAGGCTGGAGTGATGTGCTCAGAATGACAGGAGAGGAGAATGGCATTGAGCGACACTATCTTGCAGAGGCAGGAGCGGAGTGAAAGGACCTGCAGGAGTCCAAAGCGGCAATACTCAACTCTACTTGTGCTGTTAGTTGTCATCTGCTTTGTAACGTGCACGCGAGGAAACTTTGCGTCTTTACTGTTTACAAATAGCAATAGTTTGACAAATTGGTATTTGCTTCTTAAGGCTACGGATGGTTTTCCTCCTTTCTGGCAACATAGGCCTATGTTTAAATCTCTTTAACCCAATCTCGGTGGTACGATACGTATTTCTAAGAACAGCCCATTTCTCTGACCTTATAGAGGATCGCAGTTCACCTGGCCTTCCTGCCCCCATGCAGTAGATTACACCATGCTGCCTGAATCACATTAGAGCCTGTATGAAGAAGGTGAATGAGTGTTGACATTATAAACTTTTAGGGGAGAAAATTGTGTGAACTTTGAATTAATAAGGATGAAATTTGGTGAATGTGGTTAGCCTTGGTGCACTTTTATTTGTACCAGACCTGGTACACTTTGCTTAACACTTTTTTTTTTTTTAACCCAAAATTTGTAAACAATAGAAAGTGTTAAAATTAAGGGTTTTGATTTTTCAGAAGTGCTGAGCACCCACAATTGTCAAGGGGGGGGGGAGACAGAGGATGTTTAGTACCTTGTAGTAGATATTTATCTGTTAGGGTATTAGCCTAAATTTTCACCTACTGTTTTGGGCCAGGAAAAGATAGAATCTGTGTGCACAGATTGGTTAGCTAGATTGGTTAGACTGCCAAATTTCTCTGAATTGTTGTTTGTGAACACAAATGGTCATGCTTGTAAAATAGTAGGCACAAATTTACAGGATGGGTTAAGGAAAACGAATCTAAATAAGACCTTAAATTGAGGAAGGTCATAGCTCTCATGAATTCAGTCTGTCTTATTGTTATGTTGGTCTGTCTAAGACAATCAATGAGAAATCCATGATTCCGCAACAGAAAATAGTAGTAGCAGAGTGTCTGTGGGGTTGTCTATTCACCTTTCTGACATTTGCTAAGTTACGCAATATGGACCAGATCCTCAGCTGGTGTAAATTGGCGTAGCTTCATTGAAGTAGACTGAGAGATCTGGCCCTATTTAAAAGAGGAGCCTGTGTCTTCTGGACACTGCTTCCAGCTGTCAGTAATCTGGAAGTGGAGAAAGCACTTTTGGTGATACATACTGGTGCCAGGTGCAAGGGAATGTGTGGTGCATTTGATTCTTTAACTAGTGAAAACTTAGGTAACAGTTCCATCACCAGATAGCAGTTTTGCTTATTCCATACCTCTCTTCGGCAGGTTCTGCCTCTTTTTGAGAAATGTTTCCTCCAATAAATAAAACAGACTCTATCTCTGGTTGTAATACCTAAAAGTAAGTGAGAGTGAGTGTGTGTGTGTGTGTGTGTGTGTGTATGTTAATAAGGATGATAAACACTCACAATAAAAATACAAATAACAATTGCTGCTGGCAGCTAGGGAAGAAGAGGTGTGTTTTACTGGGTGAAGGCCATAACAATACTTATGTTCCCAGACGTGGGCCCAGCAACAACAAAAAAGGCATTCCCATCTGTTAAGCAAAGCTTCTAGTAGCTAAACAGAGCCTTGCTGTTATATCTGGCCAAGTTTCGGTTTTAATATGAATGCAAGAAGAGACCTATCTTCTAGGACACTGAATTTGACACACAGCTACTGGAAAGGGGCACCACATGTTAAAGCTTGAAGTTTGAGGATCCTGTAGCCCTCTCTCCCCCCTTCTATATTCCATGGGCTATAGATTTGAGAAAAGGACTAAACCAATTGTTACAGAGACCTACCAGTATACTCTCTAGTGTATCTGGATGTGTATTACCTGCAAATATAATCACCGGTTGTGTTACTATTTCCTACATGAAATTGCTACGGTTATTGCTCTGATGTCATATTATAGTGATTTGGTTTAAATATTGTGTCCCAAGGTCTGGCTCACATAATGTATTCCTTGCCCAGGCCCTTTATTACTTCATGTTTTGCCCTGCAGCTACTCTATTAACTCTGATTGGCTAAAATACCTAGAGATCCCACCCAAACTTGGAGTCATAGACAGAGGCCTCCCACGGCTGTGCTTGAGTTATTTAAGGGCTTGTCTACATGATGTCATAGTCTGCATCACCTGGGGCATAAGTTCTAATGAGCACCAGCATGTCACACACTAACTGACCTGTGTGGGCCCTGCTAGTGTGCACTAAAAGTTCTCTAGTGCGCATTAATGTATTCCCATTTCAAACAGTACTGTGCTATGTGCACTAGGGATCTTTTAGTCCACATGATCCAGTTCATGCATGTCACATTTCTACACAGTAGAATTTACAACCCAGCTGGTGCGGACTAAGGTACCATGTAAACAAGCCCTAAGAAGAAACGCTGATGACAGATTAGAGTAAATGGAAGTGAGCGTCTGTTAGTTCTACTGGCTGAATGCTAACACCAATCCTGCAAAATCTTGCAGATTCCTCTCTCATTTTTTTCTTTAGATTTTCTTTCCATCTGCCATCAGAGATTGGACTAAGTGTAAATAGTTATTTTTTATTACTTCATTCTGGCTATATTTGTTCTACTGAGTAATTTCTGCTTTTTCTGATCTGGAATATGTAATTACTCTGTTCTATTAATCATTGTATGTATTAACATGAATTGTGATTCAGGGTTCAGCGAAATACTGTTTATGCTTTCCCAAGCTTATTCTGTACAAATAAATGAACCCTATGAAAAATGGAGAGAAATATTGTCAACACTCAGTCCTGTCTTCTGTAGCCGTGCAGAGATCATGATACACAACTGGTTAAAAATGGAAATTAACAATATTTGGAACATTGAACAGCCGTTTCCAGACAGAGAATAGTATGTTTAGGGAAAGCTTGATAAGATAGAGAACACAAAAGTCCTTTGGTAACCAAATAGATGCCAAATGGGGCCGGGGGGCAGGGAGGGGGGGGAAGTGAAGTGCTAAAAGTGCAAGGAGCCTTGGTGAGCCAAATGGGCTTCACTCATTTCCCCCCCTCACACACACACTCCTCCTCCCAAATTGTTATGATCTTATTCATATGATCACTCTGCATATTATGCGGATGCCCCCATCATCTCCATTATTGTCTCTGATAGATCCTGAATATTGGGATTGATCATGTCGTTCCGATTTGGACAACACCTCATCAAGCCCTCGTTTGTGTTTCTGAAGACCGAACTGTCCTTCGCGCTTGTAAACAGGAAGCCAGTGGTCCCTGGGCGTATCCTTTTCATAAAAGCTTCTGAAGTGGACACTCATGGGCTCTAGATACTCAGTCTCCCAAGGAGAAGGAGAATTCTGCTCACTCTGAAGACCAGGTAAGATGTTACTCATATTTATTCTGAAACCAGTCAGTGGGATGTAATATGCTTGATCAGTGTTGCAGAACTTCTGAAAATGGTTGCTTAGCAACTGTGACCTTAGAGGTGAATTTTCTACTGACCTTTTCACCACTGAAGATGTATAAATAAACAGGTGCTTCTAAAAGGATTTTTAAGTCTATGAGGTACTTCTGTTTAAATTTCATACTATGCTGAAAAAAGCAGGCTATTTCCTTTTTAATTCTGCCACATATTTTTAGATGTAAGTAAATGTTTTTCAGAGCATTTTCAATGTGTTTTCTTGGAGTTAAATGTACCGTATTTGTCAAATGGTGGTAAAAGTTGTTCAGGTGACTATTTTAAAGCCAGGTCACTTTAAAGCAAAATGTACTTGCTTCTGTGACTCTGTGTAGGAATGGACTAAGCAAACCACCTGTTTAATCAGATACGTTTCCTGAGGAAAAATTAGACCCATTGTTGAAAACAAGACCCATCTATCTATTCCAACACATAGTAGGAATTGTGGTGGTGTATCACAGACTCTCTGGAAGTTCCCTTGAGCCTGCCCCTGCTAAGTGCCTCTACTCTGGGGCCCCCAGAGGAGGCAGTCGGCCATCTGTGCCTGGCCTGTGTTTGTGTGCAACTCCCACTAATTTCAGTGGAAGTCCCGGGTAGGATTTTCAAAAGTGTTCAGTGTGGGTCTGGTCTGCTCCCATGGAATTCAATAGTCCAAGCCCTATGGGGGAAGAGTTAGGCAGTGCTTTGCATTTTTTAAAATCCCATCTAAGTGTAAATATTGGGTGGAGAATAGACACACAAATCAACTTTTTGAATTGTCAAAAGTATTCCAATCCTGTTTGGGGGCTTTGATGGCATGTTTACAATCACTGATTTTCATCAAAATCTTTTTGACCCTCCTGGGTGTGGTATTACTTCTTACTAAGCATAAGATACAAAATCCCCTGTGCACAACTCCCTTTCAAATAACCTTCCTTATATGCCTTTTTTGAGTGCCAGGTATTTGTTACAGAATTGAGATGTTTGGTTAAGATTTTATGCCAAAAATATTATGGAGTAAGGGCTGGTCTACACTACAAAGTTAGGTCAGTTTAACTACATCTCTCAGGGCTGTGAAAAATGTCATGCCCAATGAGTCGACCTAAGCCCTGGTGTAGACCGCAGTGGGTTGATGGAGAGGTGGATTTATTACAGTGACAGAAGAACCTCTTCCATCACTGTAATAACTATCTACACTACAGCGATGCAGCTGCAGCATTTCTAGTGTAGATGTACCCTTAGAAGAGTTTATAGAAACTTCACGTCCCTAACTGACCAGTGTATAAGCTATTTTAAAGTATTGAGTGAGAAGTTCAGTTTTTGAAACAATCTGTTCTATTGGGTTCCGGGGAGGTGAGCGGGCACAAGCCCGCCCATGGCTAAAGGACCCTCCCTCAGCCTATAGGGAGGATCCATGGAGCCCGAAAACACAGAGCCCCAAAATGGGGGACAATGGAAAAAATAACAAGCCGAGTGTGAAGGTCTAAGGGTCAAAAATATGGAACCCGCAGGGGACACTGAGCAGAGAACCCCGGACAGCGCCCACTGCTGCTCGAAGGTGTCAAGGGAGCCAGCTGACGTCGCCCAGAGGAACTCCGCCCGGATACGTGAACGGAGGGAGGATCGGAAATAGGCCCCACAGTCGCAGGGAACCTTCTCAGCCAACATCCTCTCTGTGGTGTTCTAGACAGCCACCTTGGCCATCGCTAGGAGGAAGTTGACGAGGAGGTCCCGTGACTTGTGGGGCCATGGATAGGGTGTGCGTATATAAGGAGGTGGGGGGAGAAGTGCAGCCAAAAACGTAAAAGCCAGTCCTGGAGGAGCCGGAAAAGGGGCTGTAACGATCTGTTGTTAGGTCTATTGCACGCTACGCACCCTGTATCTTATTCATTAATTAATCCTATTTTCAGTCCTATTTTCAAAGCAATCAAATGAAAATATTATCGATACAATCACTCTTGGAGACTTGGCTCTTGCAAGTACCTAGACAGTACAATGCTGTATGGAATATCCAGGTCTGATTGTAATTAAAATTTATAGCTACTGTATGTGGAAGTTTTAAAACAACGATTAATGACGTTGTCAATTAGTACATTGAATGGGTAAATTTGATTGTTAAATATAAAAAGGTGCTTCAGATGCAAATGTTTGTTTTTAAAGTTTTGTGGGGAGCAAGGAGTAAAGGTTTAAGGAGCCTATAAAACTTAATTATTACAAGCTTCTTTCCTTCTTCAGTAATTAAAGGTCTATAAACTTTAGCTGTATAGTTGCTGCTCTCTGTTTGGTAGATACATTTACATGCACAGGTTTAGTTTTGTTGTCCCATAATGAGTTTTGCAGCACATTTGATACTGGCACATTGTTTTAATAGCTCATGTGGTGTAATGTATAATGTGGTCTTTGTTTTCCGTTGAACAAATGTTCGGATAATAAAAACAAAAACCCAGCCCTTTCTCTCCCTCATTATAATAAGAACAAAATGGAAAAGATCATGATGCTAAGGAGAGAATACAGCGTGTAAAATAGAGCAATTTGCAGTTGTATGCCTGTAAAATGCCTGTATAATGCAGCATTCGTTTAAAGACCTGGCAGTAACAAGTGTATTTCCTGTGCTTTATTGCAATAATTTTATCTGCCTTGTCTTTGGCACACTTAGACATTCCTTTTCATTTTTGTTTTTTCAGTAGAAAATAAAATATTAATGCTTATGAATTAGCGAGACAAAGGAAATCAGTATGAAAGCCAGCTCACTCCAGGTGGTGGCTTTAATTAACTTGTAAGGTTGAAATTCCATCTTTAAAAGGAATGTAGGGTGGGAGTCTTGAATCTGCTGTAATCGTTCTCAAAGTACAGTTATAGGCTGAAAAGTGCTTCTGTAAAAATGGCATCATGGAGCTCAGTGGTTTTGTCTCGGTGGCGCTACAGGGCATTTGCTCAGTTTACAACTGAAAATGCTGCTTTTTCCTAATTGCCAGCCCTGCAAATTCAACCTGTTCTTTCTGGCTCCCACACCACCAGTAATAAGGCCCCTGGAACTGGAATTTAGTTAACAACTCAGTTGATGAGGTGTGAGCCAGACTGTAACCCAGTTCAAGCACCCAGAGATGTGCTGCCTCAGCAGGGCTAACAGGAACAAAGAGTAGTAAATATATATATTTTTGGGGTGGCATGGGACTGCTCTCCATCTCCTGAAGGGATTCTGCCTCATTGATCTTCCCAGCATGCATCAAGATTAGGCTCCAGTTACTTCAGGGATGTGAGTTTATTTGTAAGCTTGGGGGATTGGATCATCATCATCAGGAATCAAATCTGGAATATGTGGATCCAAAATGATGACCCTCGATTGCCTGAGCTACAAGATCTAGGTTCATTTGCTTGAAATCAGCAACAGTTTCATAAACCTCCCTGTGGCCCAGCCAATAGAGGGACACAGAGTATCAGCGTGGGTTACACATGGATGGTGTGCAAGTGGTTCTGTACTGTTTCAAAGGATGCTATATGTTCTCCCCAAAACATGTGGCCAGGGCAGAGGTGGGTAGAACTGTCGTCATGCTCCTTTGAGAACCCAGAGCACAAGGAGAGAGCACTGGCAGACCTCGATTTGCCCTATTCCTGCATCTGGGTATGAGAGTGCAAGAAGCCCATTCACCCTCTCCCTTCCCGCCCCTACCCTCCCCACCTTGAGCAGTCAGGTACATTCCACATCTATCGTGGGCACTGTAGATTCTTTATTAGTAAGACCTTTTGTTAGATTAGAGAATTGACTGGGATGTTAATATTAGGCACAGTCTGGTACTAGGAATCTTGTCTTTTCTGAGAGTTGGGTGAGGGTGGAGAGAGATGTGCAACCCGTGTGTGTGAAATCTCATGCAATAGGGAGCCCCTTAGAAATCCAGTTCCTGGGTTTCAGAGGGGAGTATTCCTAAATCAGTGCGGCAAATACAGGAGAACCAGACTCTAAGGAAAGAGAGGGGCTGCAACAGTTGCCCTTTTGGGGTTCTTGCTTTGGGAGACTTAATTGTTTCTAATACAGATAACTTTTTGCTGCAATAATAGCTTGGGAGGTTTATACAGCTTGGTGCTTATGTGTCAACAATGCACTCAGTTGACCTTTGAAGCTTAGCTTATGGTGTGGGGGGTTATTGTTCAGCAGCACTACCCGTTGCAAGCCGGCACAGGGGCCAGCCACGTTCTCGTTAAGAGTGGACGCCCTGCTCCAGGATAGCACCCGCACCATCACTAGCTGTGGAAAGGGGTGTGGCCTGTGGTAAGGGGCGGGGGGAGGTGAAGTGAAGGTGAGGCCATGGTTTTGCTGCTCCAAAGACACACAGCATTTTGAGTGGACTTCCAACCTCAAGAAGAGCATTGGAATGGTCTTAAAATGAAGGGAATAAACCGCAGGCAGTAAGTGGTCAAAGTGAGCAGGACCCCATAAGAGTAGAGCCTGGCACTATGAATGCTGCTGGCATGAACTGGATTATGCAAACCATGCACACCAGGATTAGTTTTATTTTTTTAAACTGTGCTTTGTAAGATTTTCCTTATTTTTATTAAATGATTGAAAGACCGAACTAGAGCGCTGAAAGAAGGAAGCAAAGAGAACAGCTGAAGTGAGCCTGAGCAGGGCTTTTCTGTAGGGCTCTTAGCCTTCTTTACCTTATAGCCACTGCGGTCTGCTGCCCAGCTCAGGCCTGTATTCCAGGTTTGCAGTCTGTCCTCTCTGAATTCTGAATGGATGTGAAAACTGAAACCCTGCAGCTTCCGACTCATACTGATGCCGTGGTTTAGTGGCGCACAGCAGAATTTCTTCTTTAATTAAATCCATCAGCTCATTAGCAGGGGA